AGGTGGGGGTAACGTTTTTCTTGTTTGTTACTATATGATTCTTTCTTCAAATTTCGTACCTTTTTTGTTTGTATCTCCATTATATTTATTCAGAGGATAATAGTCTCGTGATCGATGAGTTGGATATGTTACTTTCTTGAGATTCTCTTTACTTGTTCTGCTCTACTCAATATGAAGTCAATCATATCTTCTCTGTTTGCTCTCTCTTTGCTTTCGCTATCATCAACAAATGCTCAATGCCATTTCCCAGCAATCTTCAACTTCGGTGACTCTAACTCCGACACCGGCGGTCTCTCCGCCGCCTTTGGCCAGGCTGGTCCTCCTCACGGAGCTTCCTTCTTCGGCTCACCGGCCGGAAGGTACTGCGACGGTCGCCTCGTCATTGATTTCATAGGTACCGTAAATTACAAAATGTACAATACTTTTTTCAAACACACTCGTTTGCGTTTGCGTTTTGGTGATTTGTCTCCTTTCTTTGACACAGCGGAGAGTCTTGGATTGCCATATCTAAGTGCGTTTCTAGACTCGGTTGGTTCAAACTTCAGCCACGGCGCCAACTTTGCGACTGCGGGGTCTACGATCAGAGCTCCCAACACCACTCTTCATCAAAGTGGTGGATTCAGTCCATTCTCACTCGATGTCCAGTTGGTCCAATTCTCTAATTTCCACAACAGATCCCAAACACTTCGCAGTCGCGGTATGACTCATCCCATCTATGAGATAAGATTGAGAATACATATTGTTTGCATCTATTAGCGTGGTTGACTGATATGTTAGATGAACAGTGGAATAACGGAATGATCAAAATAGCGGAAATACTTGAAACAGTTTACACAAAATAACCATAAAAAACTAACTCTAACAAGCGTTTTAGTAGATCTAATATCGGCTTTTTTGTTCTTTTCAGTTAACATCCGTAGTGGAATAATATTTCAAAAAGCTTGATAAACGTTTTGAATAGTTTAAAATAGCGTTTCAGATTATTTATCACCACGTCAAATG